GTATTTTGACACTCAAATACTTTTCTTGTCATCTTTATATTTTCTAGTAGATGCACAAAGTTCTTTGTTCAAGACCTCTGATGCCCTTTCCTTTTGGAACAGTCCCAATTCACTCTCCAAAGCTGGAGCAGTGCTCTCTTATTTTGCCTGCTGATCCCAGAGTCTTATGCTGGCTAATCCCCAAGTGAGAGTCAATTGTTTCATGTATCTGAAGTTGGTCTCACTTGAATTCTGGGGTTCATCCCCCAAATCTCACCAAATCCAGGTCTCGCTTGCTGTAGAAAACATTCATATGAACCAGAAGAGTTTTCAGAGCAGAGTTGGATCACCTGGAGTAGCTCATCTCTCAGTTGTTCAGTGCTTCATGTAAATAACAGAAAAGCAACTCTCTTTTGGATTTCTGTTTTGAGTGCATTAACAACTTTCTCTCATGTGTTTTCTTGTTTATTTTGCCCTAACTATTCTTTATTTATTCAATTCTGATTTTGTTATTTCCTTTTAATTATGTTTACTTCCACAGATTTTGAGGGCTTTGCCCTCTTACTCTCATATTCTGTGCCTGTATAGAAAACAGATGTCACAATTTCCTCTAATCCTGCATTGTGATTGTCATTTTAGTTCTACAGAGCTAATAAAATTGTGCTATTCATTCCCTAAGCAACTTTAAACCACCTCAACTTTAAATGTAAGAACATAAGTTTGTTCAGTTGCTGTTTTATTTTGCCAGCTACATCGACTTGCACTTGCTAAGATATTTACAAATAGCTGGGGAATTTTCTCTGGTTTTTTCAAACAGGTATATTTTGGGAGTTCAGTGTTATCACTCATCTTTGGGGGTCTGAGTACCTGTTTTCATGTACAGAACTGTAGATCTTGGAAAAAGTGAAGGCAAAGAAAAATGAGTTAGTGGGAAAGGGGGAAAATATTACCTTGATACCTTTAACTTGGAGCAATTCTGTAGCTCTTTTAAATATTCTTTAGTCTTGCTGTTTTCAATGGCAATGGTGCCTTAAAATGTTCATTTCCTAAGCACATTACTTTGAGATAAGTATCTTTTTCTTCAGTTCTGTTATGTAGAGTGTAGCTGGTTTTGCCTGAATGTCACTACAGCAGCGAAATGTGTAAATGTGCTTTGTCAGATGGCAGCTGCATGCCAAGTGTGAGTCCTCCTCTGGTGTTTCTTCATTTGGGCCTTTCTGATCTCATTTTGCAAACATCATCTCACTGGAGATTAATAAGGGAATTTTAGAAAACTTTTAAAACTCTCTTTATTTTTGCTGTTTTGCTTGTTTCCATGGAAGTGGGATCTATAAGATTGTCAGGAGGGAACAGCTGTGAGCTCTACATGTACAGATTTCATTAGGTGACTCCCAGCTGAGATCTGGGATGACCTAAATAAGTAGTAAACCATTTAGTGAGGTAAAAAAAAAAAAAGGAACGATTTAGAGAAAATACTGTATGCACTCTTTTTGTCCTCATTGGATGTGGTAAGTAAGAAAACACTTATTTACCTGTGTTTGGGTACATGAGTTGTATGGACACACTTGCAACTTCCTTCAGATTCTTTTTCAGGGTAGTAAAAGTTCTGTACAACAAACACAGTCCATTCCTTTGATAGGATGGACTTTCTAACTGTGACCTGAGCTCTCTCAAGTGAATGTTTTTGGACAAAGAGGGATATATATGTCAGAAAATTGCATTTCTACAGTTCAGGTTCACTGAATTTTCAAATGTCAGCCTATGTTTGCGTGTAAGAAATAGTTGACAATTCCATTTCTGAAATTGCCTCACTTGCTAAAGTTAAGAGAGTAAACCAGATCTCTCTAGCATGAACATTATATATTTGTTCCTCAGTTTAGAATCGAAACCTTCCTCTTGTTGCCAGGTAAGAATAAAACTTATCACCACTGAGGATTTGCCTTAACAGTTGTGTCTTCTTAGCAGATAGTAAAATACAGAATGGCTGAAGTCAACAGGTTTTGCTCCCCAGTTTCCTATCTCATGTTATTTTTAAGCACTACTTCTTCCTTCAATTCTCTGCATGGAAAGCCAGTGCTTATCCTCATTGTGTTTTACTCAACAAGTGGTTTGTGTATAATATTTTACCCAGGGGTGCCATTGTGTGCCTGATACCAAATGATCTCGTGTTAATTCTGCTACAACCTTCAGGGGTGAGCTCAGATACACTGGTTAGGAATGCACAGGTCCAGAATCCTTCATATTTTGGAGAATTATCCTTAGAGTAAAATGATAAGGATAAAAGCAGGGGGAAACTTTCTTGCTTAGAATACAAATGCAGCAAAATTAGCAAGAGCAGATGGTTTCTTCCATAAACTGATGAGTGAGGGCATGGGCTTAAGTAAACAGTGTCACCTCTTTTTTCTTAAAATGAGGTAAAATATCAATAAGGAATCTTGAAGGTGTGCAGGATTCTAAGACTGCTATCTCAGGTTACCAAACTGCTGCTGGGCTCAGTGCCTCAATAACTGTTATCTGAGATTAAGAACTCAATATTAATCCATCAATCAGTGTGACAGCTTGTGGGAGAGGTGTCTTTCACTACATGTGAAGTTTACCTCGATATCAGCTCATTAGGAAGTAGATATTTTCAACTGCTTGATATATCTACCCCTATTAATTGGAACAGCTTTCAGCAGTGATATGTGCTACTAAAAGATCCTTGCAGTTTTTTCTTAAATTTCCAGTGTTTTGTTTTAAAATAGACTTAAAAAAAATTGGAATCCATGAAAATAGATTTGAGTATTATATACTTTCAAGTTACATGATTTGCTCTTAGTGTTCTTTGTAGAGCTTTTGAATATTAGTTGAAGAATGAGAGGTTGTAAAGTAGTTTGTAGAGGTATGGAAACCTCTGAGACTTTATCTAACTAAAATCCCAGTGTGGCTTTTAACCTAATCTAATCTTTTGTACTTGGAAGTGATGTGTACTCTTGGATTCTTCTCTCCACCAATCTTCAAATTCTATGTTCTTCTATTTTAGTGATTTACTCCTCCTTTATGCTGTATGTAAAATGTAAGCTTTCAGCCATGCTGTTGTTTATTCTATTGTTCAACTAGAAGTTTGAAGTCTTTCCTCCAAACGATGATTTTAACATGTCTTTTCCATAAGTCCTGCAACTCCAGGTGTAAAAATTAGCTTTATGCTGCTGCTGCTTCCATCAATATTAGGAGAGGTTTTCCTCATTTGAATGGACTGTAATCAAAAGGTTTTGAAGGTAAAGCAGCACATGGGATGGGCAAAGTTTGAAGGTGCTCTGAACTGTCAGCTTGTCTAAGCCAGACAGTTCCTGCCAGCTTTTGTGTCAGGTCAGGGATTTTTGAAGGAGCCACCACATTGCTGTGCAGACATCATCACTGACATGCTTCTGTTCATTTGTTTTTGAAGTTTTGCACAACCTAAAATTTGATTAAATGAGAGCTATAATATGAAATGCATACAAAAGAAAACCTGTGTGTTTGATAAATTGTTTGGTTTTTTGTTGACTGCACTGAATTCAGCTGCTGCTTTTCCTGACTTTTTATCAGATGAGAATTCAAGTAAAATTAAAAGCTGTATTTCATGCAAGGAGACTTTGTCCATGTCTGAGACTATCACAGAGTGAGTTCTGTCAGACTTTTCAGTCACTGAAAGTGACTTTTTTGGGTGGTGCAAGTCATCTTGTTTCCACTCAGTATCTAGGAGTAGTACCTAAGAGCACATTCTGTATTTGTAACCATACTCACCCAGCATGGCCCAGTGCAATTGCTGGGTTGAGATGTTCAATGTTAACTTTTTTCCAAATATTTTGTATATATGATGTTTAGACTACTGGCTCTATTAAAACATTTTGCAGATTTTAAACAGTTTTCTTGCCCAAAGGTGAATTCCTCTAAAATGAGATCTCAGCAGGCAATCTGGGAGCACAGTGGAAAGGCACAGGCACAAAGCATGAGAGATCTGCTTTGAGTGGACTAAAGCCCTGTCCATGTTTGATCAATCCATTTTGTTTTATTCTTTGAAACCACTTATTGAAGTGCTGAGCCTTTACTTTCCTGCAGAAGTAATAGATTTATACCATTAACTGCATGGTTAATAGCTAACTTTAGAGCTTTAATTTCTAAGTTCAAATTAAGATATTGATTCAGAGTGAATATATAAATATTTCTGAGGAGAATCTCCAAGTAAGAGGAAGATATTTTGAGGTTTTTTTTTCTTCCTTAATTTTAAGAGACCGTATCATATTGAGGCTTTTAAATTAAGCTGGACTATGCCAGTTTGGAAAACTCTTCTGTATTTAAAAAACATTGTTTTTTTTAAAACAGCCTACTACTTTTTAATTCTGTTTGGTGTGCTGGTGTTGTTTGGTGGGGTTTTTTTAGTTCTTTTTTCTTTTTGAGACCTCTGTGGAGCATCCAGCATATCTTCCTTTTAATGTGACTTTAATGTTGGTTGGTTTTGGTTCTTATTTTTTTCGTACTGCTTCCACCCCAATGGATCAGTACATCTAAAAGCTAAGCTTAAATTTCTGGTGGGTTTTGGATAGAAAACTATAAATAGTTCTGTGTTTTGATTAAAAAACATCTCTAGTGTTACATTGATATTATGACTGCTCAGTGGAAAGTTGATTCAGTTATATTGAAGCTATTTTTGGGAGGCTGGTAATCTTTTGGAGTAGCAGATTATGTAATAAGCATTTTGTGAGCCTTTAATGTAAAGTATGTGGAAATATATATATAAATGTAAACATGGCCTGTATTTCCTTCTTTGCTAGGCTCCAGTAATTTTTAAATATTTTTATTAATAGAAATTTATTGTGGAGTTTCTGAAATCAAGCTTGTGTGGTGTTCTATACTTATCATCTTTTAACTACCATATTTCCACTAAACCTGAAGTAATTATTCATAATTCAGCCATAGGTGCATACACATGGGGCACTTGTGTGTGTATATGCATGATACATACTGAAACATATTTTCAAACAGTTTTATTTTCTTTCCAGTGGGATGCCATAACTGAAATGGATGAACACAACCGTCCCATCCACACTTACCAGGTGTGCAATGTGATGGAACCCAACCAGAACAACTGGCTGCAAACCAACTGGGTCTCCCGCGATGCCGCACAGAAAATCTACGTGGAGATGAAGTTCACCCTGAGGGACTGCAACAGCATTCCCTGGGTGCTGGGGACCTGCAAGGAAACCTTCAATCTCTACTACATGGAGTCAGATGAGCCTCATGGAGTAAAATTCAAGCCAAACCAGTACACCAAAATTGATACCATAGCTGCTGATGAGAGCTTTACCCAGATGGACTTGGGCGACCGCATCCTCAAGCTCAACACGGAAGTTCGTGAAGTTGGGCCGATCAACAAGAAGGGATTTTATCTTGCTTTCCAGGACATTGGAGCATGTATTGCTTTGGTGTCAGTCCGTGTCTATTACAAGAAATGCCCTTTCACGGTCCGTAATTTGGCCATGTTTCCCGACACCATTCCAAGGGTGGATTCTTCCTCGCTGGTAGAAGTACGGGGCTCCTGTGTGAAGAGCGCTGAGGAACGGGACACTCCAAAATTGTATTGTGGGGCGGATGGAGATTGGCTGGTGCCTCTGGGACGATGCATCTGCAGTGTGGGCTATGAAGAGCTGGAGGGTTCCTGTCATGGTAAGTAAACAATATTTGACTTTTTTTCTTAATTTTTAAAGAGAAGTCATATGCTGTCATATTCTCTTTCACAGTAGTCCATAATAGTTTTGAAATTACTTGAGAATAAGGTGCTTTTTTTCTGTAGTAATGGTTGTGAATAATGATATCCCAATGGCTGCTGAGGCTGTCTGCTTTGATTCAGTATTGGTTTGTAGGAAAAAAGGGGGAGAGAGTCCGTACCCATCCTTTACATAAATGACTCTGTTATTTTGCTCAAGAATTTCTCAGATTAGATGGAGTTAGGCAAGCTGCACAGCAACCTTGGATAATAGAGAGCATTAAAACCACTATGCACTGTAATCAGAAAATAAAATTGACTTTGTTGTCTGATCTTGCTGGCATTAATTATAAAAATACACTCATTGCAATGATACCATGTTGACAGTGCCATTATTGGGAGCCAGCATAATTTTGTACATAAGGTCAAAAGGTTTCTCTCTTAATGGGATAAGGATTTTCTCTGAAACTTTAATGCTGAATGAATTCCTGTCCATTATGCAAGTGAGTCATACACTAGTTCTGTACATGAGCAATATAGGCAGCAGCCAAAGTCTACCAGAAATGTTTTCTGCAGTACATTGACTCCACTGGTTTATTCAATTTACCATCTGATCTGCTGAACAGGATCTTCAAAGTAAAATGGTGTACCCAAAGCCACAAGTTGTTGTATATTCTTATCTATTTGCCCTACTTTAGAAAGTTCTAATCTAATATGTGTGTGAAAGATAGACATCTTTAAGACAGCCATAATGTTCTGTTTTGGGAGTTTGCTTATTGGCTGAGACATGAATAACAAATTCAGAGTTTAAAAGACCTGTTGCTTTAGTAAATCCTGAGCTTACTCTTAAATACCCATTAAATTAAAAAAAAAATACCTGAACATTACAAACTCTCTGAGGAGAACATTTAAATTTACATTGAGCTTCTTTTCAGGGAAGCAGAGAGAGGGGGACTAGGTGGGGGAAGAGTAGAAGCCACCCTATTTTAGCCTGATAAGAGCTGATCTATATTTATAAAATTTTCATATATTTTTGGGTCCCTCTCCTAAACCCCAAGCCAAAGCCCTTTTGCCCCTCCCATTCCCCGGCTGGAGTTGTTGCAAATCTGAGTCTTGAAAGTGTTTTGCACCATTCTGTCAGTGCTTTGTGCAGGCATAATCTGTGACATACTCAGGAGAGAACCATTTCTTTCTTCTGCATGAAAATAAACAGTCATAATTATAATTTTGCGTTTTGAAGCCTGTTCTGAAAAATAATTGGATGGTGGGTAATACTTGCTGATACTTGAATATATTTTCCCTACTTACACAATGGTGTCAAACTTTTTATACCCCAGACTATGGCTCAGTGGGGAATAAGCACTTCATGGTAAATATGGTTTATCTGTCACAGAATTTAAAGAATAAATTTCTGTTTTGATATTTGTGGAGATACGGACTCTCTATTCACAAAATAGTAAGTGGCATAAGGAAGGATGTTCTGTCATTGTCATTGCTCATCATTTTGCAAAGCGGGAAGGATGGGAATAAAACAAGTCTTTGATCAGTTTTACTGCTGCTGTTAGAAATCATAGGTTATTTTCAGCTGCCTAAATCTCATTTACCTGCTTTCCTAACTGGCAACATTTCAATTATTTCAAGATATGTCAGATTTATGCATCTCTATCTCTGTGGATCTCTCAGTATTCCCTAGCCATTGCATTTTCTTTTAAAAGCATCATTTCAGAGCCAAAATATCTGAGAAGAATTCCCAATTGGATTGAAAATATCCATACCTGTTGAATGTACACCTAAATGTTCTAGTTCAGAGGCATATTAACAGGGAATTTTTCAGTAATTTGGGACTGTCTTCCTTTTCTGAAGCCACTGGGGGTAAAAGTGACACTGACTGCAAGAGATTCCCAGGTATTTGTGTGTTCTGTACATTTTTAATGGGATAATCTGGAATATACCAATCTTCTCTAATTTTATCACATAAACAGTCTCTCAGTCTTTGATTTGAATCTACTTTTCAAGATTTCCCCCTCAAAATCCTGAAATAGCAACATCATTCATGTGTTCTTTTGTATCTTTAGGTATAATAAATAAATTAGAACTAGTAATTTGGCAGTGCAGATCAGAAGTGGCTCTGATATGAACTGCTGGCTTTGCCAATTCATTGACACTAGAGCCCCAGTACCAAGTTTCACGTTAGATGGAGGAAATGCTGCACAGGATTCTGGTAAACAACAGTTAAAAGTGGCATGTTCAATACTCTGTGTTCTCTGAATGTCAGCCCAAGATATCAATTGTGCTAAATTTAGCAAATATATAATATATGCAGGTCATATCAGGACTTCGTGGTGGAAGTTTTTCACATAGGAGCAAACAATCATGACAAGGAACCTTTTATAAATTTAATTGTAATGGTTCAGTTCTATTAAGGCATGGGATAGAAATAATTGGATGACTGTTAACTGAAGTTTGACTTCTTAATGATTTAGCAAAAATTATCTGAATTATTCAAGGTGTAGGAATTAATTGCAAAGAAAAATTCAATTATATATAGCAAACACTAATTATTATGGTAATTTCAGATTTTACTTTAGTCTTAACCAACCAAACATGGTGCAAAAGTGTATTTTGCCAGCCATAAAGTTAATTCTTCTTGAGAAATATTCTTAGGAAGCCGCCACTTCTAAAGTGGGATATATTTGGTAGAGCTGAAACAATGCTAAGTGTTAAAAATGTAAAACAAGAGGCACTGACAGGGTCACCTGATTTATTTTAATTGAGATAAATAGAGTCAGAAGTGAAAATGTAAAATTCAAATTCTCTGACCTTGAGTTGAGTGAACAACACTTCCTAGGGATACTAATGCCTGAACACATGGAGTTTTTAATTGAACAAACAATTCTTTCCATTATTCATCACTTGAAATTGTGGTAATGTTTCAGTGTTAGGATTTCTGCTTTGGCAGCTGGTCTTTGTGTTCTTTAGCACTTCCATCTGATCCAACTGGAAACTACTCTCATTTTTCAGTTATTAATCCCCTCCTTATATATATATATATCTGTAGTGTGGCTTTGTTTTTGAGAAACCAAGCAGTTCATGTTACAATCATGCTTTAATTACCTGTGTGCTGGCATGAAAACAGGAAAAGGGGGGAATAAACTACTTTGGAACTGCAAGTTACAGAGATACAGTATTGTGTAAGGTTCCTTTTGTGTTTTCTTCTGTGTGTTTATTTGCTCAGGAGATTGAATCTTTACCAGGCACTGAAGGAACCATCTTTGAAGGAGAATCATAAAAAGGCTTTTGACTGCAGAAAAATAAATAGAAAATTTTCAATGGCTACAAATGATCTTTTTTAAAGGAAAATCTTTCTACTAGAGTCCTTCCTGCATCGTAGCTGGGGCTGTTCCACAAGTGCTGGAGTGGATCCCTAAAATAGTGGGTGTAAAATTCCAAATTTCTCTTTCCTGTCAACCAGAGACAGGAGTTTGTCAAAAGCTGAATGAGTGGAGAACTAGGAGAATCCACCGACTTTTGTCTCAGTGGCGGAATGGGGCAATCAAAATCCTGTCTGCTTTGGTATCTCACAGAGATAATTTAAATAGTTGTCTTTTAATTGTCTTTTAATTGATTGTCTTTTTTAAAAGTATCTGACTTATCAGATCAATTTTAAAAAATTGCATTAATTTTTTCAAGTAAACAGCCATATATTTAATGAAATTTGTTACAGAGTCTTAACTTGGTGACTGCTCTGAAAGGAATCCACATTGCTTTCCTGTGCAATGATGGTTATTTCATGTAATTTATGAGTCTGCAGAGCTTTAGATTTCGCCATTTCAGTGATAGCATTTGAAACCTTTGTGATAATTTGTGACATATTTTTCACTGAGAAACCTCCTCTTTAGTCTGAATATGGGTAAAGTTGAATTGTGAGATGTCAATTCTAGATTCACTTCTTAGGTGGAACTGCTAAATAGTTTTTTAGTACAATGTGAGAACAAAGACAGGGAAAAAATAGAAGTTGTGGATAATTGCAAATGTGTAGATTAGAGTATGGAAAAGTAATTGATAATGACTGTTCAAAGCTTCTAAATGTATTTAACCACATATAGCTGCTACTATATGGAAAAACTCTGAACTCAAGGCCTGTATATATTAGAAAAAAAGAGTGTTTACAGTAGACAAAAATTTAAATTACTCTCTGTTCTAAGGGGACATTGCAGATGCTACTGGGAGCACTTAAGTTCCTGTATCCTGGTTTTAATTTCTAAATGGCAGGTCATGTACCAAGCTATTTGAGGCTGTAGCTCTCATTTGTACATTTTCCACTTGCACGATGAAAACCATTTTGTCCTTAAGGCTTGCAATTACTGTGAATTAAAAATAACACTGTTGCCTGGCTGAAATGGGAGGTAAATGAGGGATGGTGAGCTGTGGTATGGATGGATTATTGGGATATTACTTACTGTCAAAAGGATGAATTTTTAGCGAGTTGTACTCATCTAGAGAGGTCTGACTTGGCTTCACCTTTTTTTCAACACTTTTAGGTTGTTTTGATGGCTGTTTCTGGTTTTGAGTTAATTTGTTGTGTTTTCATTTGTTTGGACATTTTAATTGGATCATTTTTGCATCATCCTTTCAGTGCCTTAAAAACTGGGATATTTAAGTTAATTACTGATTTTGATTTTTGAGTGGGGGTTCTTTTTAGTTTTGTGGGGTTTTTTTAGTGTTACAAAGTTGTAGGAATTAAATAAGTACCTGAGGGCACCTGTCTTCAATGACTGCCTGAGTTAACAGCCAGAAAAATTCAGTGCTGTATAAATTCACATTGCAGCTCACAACCAACCCTTTTTTACTTAATCTACAGCCATCTGCAGATTGTTCAGCTGGATAAATTGCAACACAAAAAGTCTGATAAAAGAGCTGGAAAGGGATGCTGCTTCAGAAGTAAAGATTTAAAGGACAA